CCAGAACGAAATGCGGGGAAGACAGACGCAGGCAGAGGTGACAGCAAGTGCCAAGGCTCTGAGGTTGGACTCTGCCCCGCATGAGACCAGTGTGGCCGCGCAGTGAGAGGCAGCAGTAGGAGATGAAGACAGAGAGGTGACTGGGTGGGAGGTCGGGGAGGGGCGGGGCTCAGCGAGGGGGAGGGGCTCAGTGAGGCCGGAGGGTTTGGAACTGCTGATGTGCACTGAAAAATGTTTGAAAGAGGCAGTGTCTCAATTTTGTAAGTGAGGAGACTGAGGCTGTGCAAGAGACTGACTCTCCCAGGGTTCCAGAGCTTGTCAGATGCCCCAACTTCCCCTCAACAAACCCACAAGCCAGCCCTGCTGGCTCTCCCACCAGCTGTCATGGCAACCATCCTGAGGGCCTGTGTCTGGGGCCACTCCCTGTCCCCCCTCCACAGGCTGAGACTCTTAGTGAGGGGACCCCGAGGCTGAGCGCCTCTGTGCTGGGCACATGTGAGGTGGACTGTATGGTGGCGCTGATGCAGATGAGGATAATGGAGAGGATGGTGGTGGAGGTGCTGGTGCCGGTGACAGCTGTGGAAGCAAAGAAAAGGCAGTAGGTGAATGGCGGCAATAAAGAGAATGGTGATGGAGTGATGCAGGGGAGGTGCTAGCAGTGGAGATGATGAAAATGAAGATGGTGCTGTTGATAGAGGTGGTGGTGGGGATGGAGGTGCAGGAGCTGATGGAGGAAGGGATACTGATGGTAGAGGAGGTGGCGGTGGTAGAACTGATGCAGGTGATGGACGTGTGAAAGGTGATGAGATACTGATGCCGTTGCTGAAGGTGGAGGTGATGGTGGAGAGGTGATGGAAGTGAGTGTGGGAGGCAGGAGGAGGTAGACATGATGCTGGTGATGGAGAAGGATGATGGAAGATGCAACGGACATAGAAAGGTTGCAGATGGTGGAAGAGGAGGTTATGGTGAAGGAGGTAATGGTGAGGAGGTGATGGATGTAAAAGGGATGCAGGTAGAGGAGGTGATGATAGAGGATGCAATGCAGGTGGCGGTCCCTAGTGGAGATTATTGTGGAAGGGGTGGCCGTAGCAATGGCACAGTATGAGGCTGGTGGTTGGTGCCCTTGGTAAGTCCAGGCTTCTTGTACCAGCTCCCTGTGCCCTGCCCTGCTTCCTGGTCCATCCTTCTCTCCCAGCCTCAGTTTTCACTTCTGTAAAAAGGGCTCATGCCTATGGCTTCTCCCCTTCTTGGGGCTGCCCTGGGTGGCACCGAGACTGCAGTGGTCTTAGGGCTGGTGATGGTGATCCTGGGTGCCAGAAGGGATGTCAATGGGGGTGTGTTTTGGGCCACAGGCAGGGGCCTCCAGGCTGGCTCAGGGAGGCTTTGGGAGATGGAAAGGATGACGAAGTTGCTCAGGGTAAACAGCTCCAACTGGAGCCTGGATCGATAGGGGCTGTGAGGAGCTGTAATTAGATTGAACGCCTGGAAGGGGGGTGGTGGTGAATGGAGCCTCTTTTTTGCTGTGATCAACAAAATTCAAAGTTTTTTCACAACTCTCCTCCATCCAGCCCCTCCCCCAGACTCTGCCTTGGGGGCACACATTGGGCACTGGACTGGAGAAGGGGGAGAGGAGTGCGAAAGGGATGACCCACATCTTAACTCCCTCCCTGTCTGAGCTAGTCAACCCTGATTCCTGTCCTGTTCTGCCCTGCTGGGCTCACTGGGCAACTCTGGGCAAGTGGCTCAACTTCTCTGAATACTCGAGGAGAAAAATCCCTGCCCTACGGAATTATTACAGGCTTAGAAGATCGAATACAAGTAGAGCTCCTGTGAGCTTTCTCAGGAGCATTGACAGTTCTGTCCCTACTGTAAATGTATGATGAATCTGTGAGCAAATTGGTATGTGATTGAGTGAGTGAATGGATGAATTGAAGATTATAGCAGTCAGTCAAGAAAGGGAATTTAAAGACCTGGGGTTGTGTTTTGGCTCTTCCCACTCCCTGGCCTTGCTGCTGAAACCCAGCTTTCCAAAAGAACGGGGAACCTGGCCCTCCCCCATGACCCACCCTCCAAGGAGATGGGAGATCAAGCAGTTCTTTACATTTTCTCCAACATTTCTTCATGCAGATAAAAAATAAACATGTGTTCTTGCTCCCTTGTTTTGTATGCAACAGGCTACCTAGTACCCTATTCACCCCCTAGGTCTTACCATCTTTCCACATTCACACCACACCCTCTCCCTCTATTGGCTTCTCAGCATAGTCACAAATACATTATTTTGACTAAATCAATATTCAGTACTAACATTATTATGATTTCAGTGAATATCATAGACAGCCGAGACACATAGGGTACTGGGATTGCATTTCCTTTCCTGTACAACTGTCTGTTTTTCCAGCACTTAATAGTTGCCAGTCCCATATTCTTCCCACATTTCCTAACAAAATGTAAAACCAACTCAGCAGAATTTTTCACACAGATTAGGGCATCTCCCCCTTGCACTTACCTTGATGTTCCTGCTCTGATCTGGGTGGGGCTTCCCTCTTGCTCTTTGTGCCTTTATCTTGCTGTCTTCTAGGCTGTCCTCTCCTAATTTGGGGAATCTTTTCTCCCTTTTTCCTAGACTGACCCACATTTCCTGAATCCCACACCTTCCCTTTTTAATTTACCCCCTCATTTTGATAGAACACATCCTGCAGTGGCTTTCTCAGAAAGACATGGCATGTCTGGCTATATTTTTATTCCACCTTCATGTTTGATGTTTGTCAGGGCATACAATTTTAGCTGAACATAATTGTCCCTCAGAATTTTAAAGGTATCACTCCACTGTCTCCTAGTTTTTGAGAAGCCCAAAGCCACTTTGATTCTTAGTCCTTCGTATGACATCTGCTTTTCCTCTCTGGGGGCTTTTATATGTTCTCTTTTTTCCGAGTCTCTAAAATTTCACAAGGATGGGCCTTAGAGAGTGTCCTCTTTCATTCCTTGAGCTGAGCACTTCATGGGCTCTTTTAAGCTGGACTCTTATGTCCTTCAATCCCACATTCTTTCTTTCATTATTTATTTGATAATCTCCTCTGTTTTGGGGTTGCCTCTTCACCAGGTGACAGACCTGCTCAATTCATCCTCTAACTTTATTATCTTTCTCTCATTTTCTATCTCTGTCTGCTTTGCTCTGTTTCCAATCCTTACATTGATTTGATTCCAGCTATTATATTATATACTTAAATTCTAACGCATTGTCTGACCCTTCCATTGTCCTTTTTGTCGAACAGCATCCTGTTCCCATTTGACAGATACAGTATTTTTCTCATACCCCTTCAAGAATATTAATTATAGTTTTGCCCAATTTGTCTGTTTCTTCTGAGATCATTATCCCCCTCAACCTCCTGCCATTTTTGTTTGTTCTCTCTCTCTCTCTGTCTCTCTCTCACATCAGAGGCTTTTGTAAAATGTCCAGTAACCTCCAGCCATCACCCGTATTTAATCATAAACCCCAAAACAGCTGATAAGAAGTGCCAAAAGTTCCAGGTCGGAGGGAGACAGGAGTGCAGTGGTGTGTCAGGTTACTTGGGAGAACCTGTTGTCCCCGAGAAATGAGCCACAGCGCAGTGAATGTTCCTCTCCCTTTGTGGATGTGTGCAGACATTGATCTGGTGTGTCATCTGGTTCAGACTGTTCTGTATCCAAAAACAGTGAGCTCAGTGTGTGGTCCCAGCAGGCCATCACCGACGCTGGCAGTGGGGATTTGCTAGGACAGCCTGCACCATTGGTCACTGCTAGGAAGTGTCTAGAGTTCATGGGGAGGCAGGATGGGGCAGGTTCTTCACCACCCGCAGCCCCAGACTGGTATGTGGCAGAGAAATTAGGACTCTGAAAGAGTTTGCACTGAAGTCACAAGCATCCCCCAACCCCTGAGGGGAGGTAGCCCACCCTAGCTGACAGAGCCCAATTTTTCCACCCACTGGCCCCTATTGCATTTGAGGAGAGAGTCAACTTTGGAGCTGGGGGAAGGAAGAGGAGGACCACAGGCACAAGCCCTACCCCACTCTCCAAGCTGCTGCTGTTTTCCTTTTGCAAACATCTGCTGGCCAGGGGTTGCCTCCTGCAGCCCCTCCCTGCTCTTTGCTGGGTGGCCCTAGGAGAGGGAGGGGTGGTCCTGCAACCCCCCCCCCCTCAGATCCTCCCAGCTCCCTTGGGCACTTGAGTAAGGCCAATTCATCTGGGTCTCAGCCTGCTGATTGGGATCAGGGTGGGGGCAGGCAGGAGTGGAGGCTCAGATATTGGAATCAGGTTGTGGAGGCCAATGTTGACCTTATACAGGGTCCGTAAGGTGGTCAGGCCTCAGAGGACAGCCCAGGGAAGAAGGCATGAACCATCACCATCCTTCTGAGAACCGGGTTGCCTCGTCATCCAAGGGGAAACTTATGGGATATGCAATGCACACCAAGGGCCTATTTGCCCATCTACAGGGATCCAAATAATTCAGAGTTTCCAAGCCATTTCCTGGAACATCCCCCCAAGCACGGGTTTCAGTGGGGAGGAGGAAAGCCACCAACACCAATTGTACTCTGGGGTGGGGAGCCTTTGGTGGGGTTGGGGCAAGAGGTTTGGGGATATGAGCTGGGGAGAGGGCTAGCCTGCAGAAGAGGTGTTGGAGGGTGACGGCCCTTGCCTTTAGAGATGTACTCACATTGTCTCCCCTTCTTTGTCCCCCCACCCTATCTACCTGCCCCATCTGTCTCTTCACCCATGACTGTCTGCCCCCCTTCTTCCATTTCTATCTCTCCCACCTTCTTGCTGCCCCATGGTCTCTTTCATGCCGTCCTATTGACATTTCCGTGTCTCTCTGCCTCTTTCGGCCCTGTCCGCTGTTGTCTCTCCATCCCTCTGTGCTTCTCCTATTTCTGCCTCTCTGGTGCTCTTTCCGGTGCTGTTTCCTTCTACCCGGCCGCGTGGTGGCGCTGTCTCCGCTCGCCCTCCTGCGTGCCACTGGACCGCAGCCTGCAAGCGGAAGGAGCAGGAGCAGCAGAAGGAGCGTGCACTGCAGCCAAAGAAGCAGCGCTTGGTGTTCACTGACCTGCAGCGTCGCACGCTGATCGCCATCTTCAAGGAGAACAAGCGGCCGTCCAAGGAAATGCAGGTCACCATCTCGCAGCAGCTCGGCCTGGAGCTCAACACCGTCAGCAATTTCTTCATGAACGCGCGGCGCCGTTGCATGAACCGCTGGGCCGAGGAGCCCGGTGCGGCCCCCGGGGGCCCCGCCGGCGCCGCCACTTTCTCCAAAGCCTGAGGCGCCCCCGCCCCGCGCCCTCCCTGCCTCCACGGCCTGGGCGCTGGCCTCCCGAATCTCCCACCCCACCCTACCAGCCCGGAGACTCGCCCTAGGGGGCACCTGGAAGGGATGCGGTCCGGGTCCCCGACTCCTAGGGAAGGGACGCAGCACACCCCTCAGCCCAAGTGCACAAAAGGGCCCCCCTCCTCTCCATCCCACCCCTTCAGGCCAAAGGAAGCCCTCCACCATCCCCCCCTCAGAGGATGGGTTGAGAAAAAGGGGCTCCCCACCTCCCTCTCAATTTAGGATGCGCAGGGGCCTTGGGAAAAACCAGGGCTTGCCGTGTCCTCCCCAAAAGCGGGTCAAGAAGCACATACTAGAAATATAAACCGGGTATTTAAAAAAAAAAAAGGAATTTTAAGAATAACCCCTTCTTCGCCAGCTGCCCCCAACCCCCATAAAAGGAGGCAGGAAGAGCCTACCTCCCCACCCTCCCGCGGACCTTTCCCGGGGAACTCAGTCCCTTCTAAAGTTGCCACATCCAGTGGGATCCCTCCGGTCCCTCCACCCACACCAAACCAACCCCATCCGCCCGCAGAACTGCCCCCACAGCCAAGAGCCCAGCCGCCCCTCCCCGAGGCAGCCAGGATTCCTTGTGCCAAGAATTGCCTGCCTTAACGTCTGGGGAGGGGCCTGAAGTGGCCGCCCCCCAGCACCCACAGGCAAGCACCCTCTCCCACCCCATCCCCATCCCCCGCACCCTCTGTCATTTCACTTCAGCTTTAGGCACCTTGATGAATGACACACGGGGAGAGACAGACCCCAGGACGCGGAAGAAGACATCCAGATTCCACAGCTACGTCCACGGACACAGAGCACAGGAGACCTCTGGAGCCCCTGCCTGCCGCGGCCATGGTGTTGCTATCTGCCCGGAACCCTCTGGAAGTCACTCACCACCTCCTAGCACTTGGGGTGCTGCACTGGGCCGGCCTGAAGGGGTGACAGGGGTGAACCTGTGCTTGCCACGTCTGTCTCCACAGAGAAGAAGGTGGAATCTGCTTGCTCGTTTTTTTGCCAAAAAAAAAAAAAAAAAATTGACAAGAGGGTAGGAAGGGTCAGAAATGAAGATGAGCTACACCCTCCACCTCCCTTGCTCATCTGGTCCACGCGACCTCCGAGACTGGCCGGCAGCTGGGTCCCAAGAGCCCATCTCGTCTCCTCCTCCTCGGGTTTCATGATCTGGAGGCTAGAAGGAACCTCCCCAAAACCTGATCCTCTTCGCTGCCTCCCAGGGAGGTGGCCACTGCCCCCCTTGAGAATGCAAGAGACATTTCTAGTGAAATGCCCTTCCCCCTCCCCCAGGTAAAGGCTACCTCACTCAAACGTTCATGTCTGTGATTGGAAAAATCACGCCTGATACCAAAGATTTCCCCCCAAGGACTTGTGCTGGTTGCTAGAATTCCCTCGCGTTTGCCTCCGACTGTGTGCTCGCGGGCCTGCCCTGGGCCCTGCCCTCTAGGTGCCGCCACCCCCACCAGAAAGAGAATGAGAGAGAGAGGGAGAGAGGATAGTGAGGTCGATGAGTGCCTTTTTCTTGAACCAAAGATGTGTGTGAAATGTTCTCTCGTCCTTATCGACTCGCTATTGTCCGGGCTTTTTAAGCAGCTGGACCTGAGTGATGCTTCTAAAACCTTTGGGTGTTGGGGCATTCCCCTAAGAGTCCCCATTCTGGCTCAGCAACCACTCCCTTCCCCCAAACGTAGGTGGATGCGGCCCCTTTTACCCGCACCACCTCCACACCCCCCACACCCACAAACACCTGGGCCCCACTGGCCGGAGCACCTATTTTCAAGGGACACAGCTCCTTGGACACCCTCTGCTGGGCAAGTTACTTGCTCTTCCGGGCATTCAAAGCTCAAGGGTCAGAGGCCAGAAACCTCCTGTCTTGTCCCCTGCTGGAAATTTAGACATTGTCTTGTGATCCTTCTGGTTGCAGAGCATTCTAGTTATGGTAAACTGTGGTCAGATCAGGTCAAGCCCCACTGACGCAGGTCACAGAAGCATCCCCCCATTCCTGGGTCCCTTCGTAACACCATCTCACACACACCAGCTCCTGTACCCCCTTCCTCCTCCAGCAGGCCCTCGCCCCACCCCATCTGAGCTCCCTTGGGTCCTACCTGCCTGTCACCGACACCCAGTTGGCCATCCCAAACCAAAGACCACCCTCCACGCAGGGAACAACACCTCCAGCACAGCTCCTTTGAGCCTTTGACAATTTTCTCTGAAATACCTCAAAATATTTAATGTATAGTTTATGTGATTTAAAAAAATCCTTAGCTAGTTTTTGGAATACGTGACTTGAAGCTTTATACCGTTAAATTATAATTTTGCAGACGATGGTATGTCATTTCTTTGACGAGTTCTGTGGGAGACATATTGAATGTCGAGGCAGCGGAAGCTGGGCAGTCAGAGGCGGAAGGCAGAGGGAGCGCGAGCGAGAGCCTGGGCTGGGAGGACCGAAGGACTGGGCGTTTACAGATTTCTTACTCAAACGAGTCCTTTAGGAAAGAGAGGAAGAGAGAGAGAGAGAGAGAAAAAGAGAGAGAGAGGGATACCTTTGTGTTCTCTGGCGTGTTCTGTTTCTTGTTTTTGGAGTCAAGTCTTATAAGAGTATTTATTATTCTATGTGGTCTGTGTTCAAATGTAATTTAAGAAAAAAAGAAAATGGAAAAAAAGACGCAATGGAATTTGATTTGATGCATGACTAATGTACTCTTTCTTGATAATGTACTAAGTGGACGGGGTGGGGGGTGGGAACGGGGCGCGGGGCTGGAGCCCCAGAGTCCATGTGCATCCTTGTGTTTCGTGCCCGACCCCCGCTGTCCGGGCCCCTGTGCGCTGCTCTCTGTTGATTTCCCCCTTTCTGAGGATCTGTGTCCAGCCGGCGGGAGGTGGGGAGGGAAGGAGAAGGCAGACGGCAAGGCTTAAGCACCCAAACTGGCTTCCCACCTCCCAGTGCCCACACACCGCCCACCTGTGCCTGCTGAGTTCCCTGTTCCTGGCTCTCGGGCGCAGGTGGCTGTCACTGCCATCTTGGACCCCGGTTGGTTTCACATTAGCATGAATTCCCAAGTGTCTTGTTCAGAGGAGAGAGACAATCAATTGAGTCTTGTCGCCCAGGGTGATGTGAGGCTAGGGTGTAGCCCAACTTCCTGAGACCCTAAGGACCCTCCTGAAAGCCCCTCTCTGGACCCAGGACAGGCACCTGGCCAGGCTCCCCCGGCACCCCCAGCCTCCTCCTCGGCTCTGGGCTGGACCTGAGTTCACCTTTCTGTCCGGCCTGGGAAGTGGGCGATGCATTCCTGCTTCCAGCCCACATTGGGGCCCTAGACAACAGAGGGGTCTCCCGGAATCGTGAAAGGGGACTCTAGGAGAGTCTCCAGGCCTGTGACTCCAACTCTGGCATGAGGCCCCCCCGTTTCCATCAGGAGAGCTCACCTTCCAGGACAGGCCTCAGGCCCTTATCCCCTGAAGGACAGAAAGCCTCAGTTTGGAGGATCAACCCACCCGAAATGAGGGTGGGGTGGCTCATGCCCCAGGGACCCTGCCACCCAGCCCCTGCATCAGTGGAACTTGGGCCATTTCACACTCTGCTCAAAGCAGTGTAAGCCACGCCAGCCCGTCAGATCCCCAGGGTCCTCCTTGTAGCCCTGGCAGACCACCCCCCACCCATCCCATGGGCTGGTCTTCGGGTGGACCCCCACATCTGGGGGTAAGGGAGAGCCCTGAGTGTTTAATCAAGACTGAACGCCAGGGCTGTCTTCAGGGGACACACTCCTGGGGTCATTCGAAGCCCCTCCCAATGCTGGAGGGAACAGAAGCCCTCTTCACCCCACCCTCAGGCGACAGGCTTAAAAGTTAAAAAAAAAAAAAAAGAATCATCATCATTGTTAACCACTGCTGTGCTGGATTTGTTGTTTTGTTTTTCTCCAATAAATTATTTTCTAATCACTCACCTGGGCGTGTGTGTTGGCTGACAGTGAGGGGGCACAGGAGGGCAAGGAATGGGGCTCACCCACCACGAAAACGGGGAGGGAGAGAGGGGATAGGGAGGAGGAAGTCTGTCTCCCCCAGCCCAGTCCTCTGCACTCCAAACCCCGCCCTCCTCCATGGCCAGGGTGGTCCCTGAGCCCGCAGCCCCACAGGGGTTCCCACCTTCCATGGGAACCATTAAGAATCAGAGAAAAGCTTGACAGTTTTGAGCCAACCAAGCCTCACGACAAACATCTTGTTGGGACCTGCGTCTGAGCAGTCACTTGCCCATTGCTTCCTGGGGCCTGAATGTACAGTGGTTTATTTGAGGGGAAGAAACCAGGGCAGCCGGAGAGGGAGTAGGCTGGGTGGTGCCAGGGCTGGACCGTAGCAGTCGCCCTGGGAGAGGCTGGCAGGTGGCAGCCAGGGAGCCAGGACCGGTAGGCAGAATCTGCTTGGCACATTTTTTCTTTCTGAGAGCAATAAAGTTCTCTTCACACTGTCTGCCCCAGGGTGAAAAAAGGAAAAAATAAACAAACAAATAAAACCGGCTTTCCTTGAAAATCCCTCATCTGGCCACTAGCGTGTTTCAATTTTTAAAACCAGGAGAGACTATTGCAGGATGCATCACAGGAAGAAGCACAGGAAAAGCGTGCACCTCAGGGATCTCTGGGGTCAGATGGATCCTGCTTTATCAGGAGAAGAAAAGGACGTGAAGCTCCTGGAGTCAGGGAGCGCCTCGTGCTCACCGGCTGACGCTTCCCGAGCCTGGGCCATCGCTGTGCCTCCCCAAGCAGGGGTGGCTGCCCCACCGGGACAGGTGGGATTTGGTTTGCTCTGGGCACTGGCAGCCGTTCCATAGGTGATGGCTGCCTCTCCGGGGGTGGGGCCTCCACCTCCGTGGGCCCTTCATTTGTGGACAGTTCTTCCCTACTTGGTGGCAGTTTCCACCTGAGTAGGGTGGGACTCAGGAAGTGGTGCCTTCCCCTTCTTATGGGGATGGGACTCCTTTTGCCAGATGCACGGCCAGCTCCTCTGGGACAGCGGTGACATCTTCCAAAAGGACATTTTCTCCAGGGATGCTGGCTGGTTCTTTAAAGATGACTGGCCAGAGGGCAGTGGCTGGCTTCCTCTGAGAGATGACGACTCCCCTGGATTGGTGGCAGATTCACAGAAGAATATGGCCTTGCCTGCTTAACTGGCAATTCCTTGTGGAAAGACACAGATTGCCGGTTCATAGAGGGAGCCTCATTTTTAGTGAAAGAGAACTGCCCCTCCATAGTCAAGGAGGAACTCATTGCGGAGGGGGCTGCACACTCTCGGAGGATGCCTTCCCCTGGTGCTGGTGCCTCTTCTTCCCCAGGAACGACAGGCTCCTCTGGTACCAGGGTGACTCGTTGGTGCTTGGGGCCAGTTCTGCATCACATGGGACAGAGTGATCAGCCAGTGTGTCACTGTTGACCCCTGGTGACCTCTGCAGAATGGTACCCTGTGTGATGAGGTCTGCATAGCCTTCCCGGTGCGAGAAGGCATAGCTGGAGCGCCGGGCACGTGACTCCCGGCGTAAGTAGGGCAGGGACTCCGCAGCGATCGCCTCAGCCGGAGCCTCCTTCTCCTCCTCCTGCAGAGCAAAGGGCAAGCAAGGCTAATCAGGCCCCCACACTGTGCTGATTGCTCTAAGGTCACCTGCTGCCAGTGGGGGCCATTCACAACCCTTGGCCATCACTGGCCAGGCTCTTCCCTACCCAAGCTGAGTCCTCCCTGGGATCCGATTTTGGACCAGCCAATCACAGTCCTTCCCTGGGACTTGACTTAAGTGCCCTCTTGAATCAAAGCCAGGAGAGGTGAACTGCGAGGCAGCCAGCTCTCCCGGCCGTGCGGCAGAACACTGTGAGTTTGTGGCCGTGTCTTGCTCCGCTACTGCAGTCAACTCTGCAGCCCATCCCAGCTGCAACTGGTCCTTCTAGGATATTTTTTTAACTGAAGCCAATAAGTTCCCTCCTCCCACTTTTTTCGTTTGTGGTAAAATAGACATAAAATGTATCATTTAAACCATTCTTAAGTGTACATCTCAGTGGCATTAAGCACATCCACATTATTATACAATCATCACTTCCATCTGCCTTCAGAACTTCGTCTTCCCAAACCGAAACTCTGTCCCCAACACACACTAACCCCCGTCCCCTCCCCCAGCTCCTGCCCCCCACCATCTACTTCCTGTCTGTGGATCTGACTCCTCTGGGGACCTCCACTGAGTGGAGTCACACAGGATTTGTCCTCTTACTTCTGGCTTATTGCACTGAGTGTACTAATGTCGTCAAGGTCCAGCCAAGCTGTAACCAGAGTCAGAATTTCCTTCTTTTCAAGCCCGAATAATATTCCACTATGTGGGCGAACCACACTGTCTTTATCCATTCATCTATTGATGGATATTTGGGTTGTTTCTAAGCTCCCCCTTTTGCCTAAGCATTTTCAGGTCATTTCTGTCATCTTGACCCCCAGATCCTAAATAATTCACAGTGGGAGTCTGCCGGCGCCAGCACTGGGACCAGGCGGCCGCCTCCGTCCCAGGAAGTATGGTTTCTACCCTAGGGTCCTGGGGTCTGTTACTGGGCTCACCTTGAGGGCACTGGGCATGCGTACAGGTGTCCCATGTTCTCCCCCAGCCCCATAGGCCCTTGGGTCCCTGCTCCCAGCATGGGCTCTGGGAATGTGCAAGGGGGACCCCAGCCACCCTCACCTTGGGGTGTTTCTTCTTAAAAGCTTGGTAACTGACACGCAAGGCCAGGACAGGCAGGGTGTTTAAAGACACATTCAGCAGGACCACCAGCAGGATGGAGGGGTGGGACAGCACGTTTCGGTCAGCATCTGGCAACAGGGAGTTGTCACATCCTGGCCTAGGGCAGAGCCTCCTAAGAATCTACTCAGTGCCCCCTCCTTCTGACACTCTGCCTCCCTCCTCACCCTTCACACCCCGGAGGCCTTTGTGCAAATTCCCTAAAGACCCAGTTCCCACCCATCTCTGGGGCTGGCCTCCCCATTTCCTGCTGGGGGGCTTACACAGAAAAGGGAAGCTCTTGGGGGCAATATTGAAGAGCCAGAAGCTTTGGCTAGCCCAAGTTATGACCATGTAGAAGCAGAGGCTGAAGACAATGGCCAGCACAAACAAGACTGTCCAGTGCTTGGTGATGAGGATGACCTGAACGGGAAAGGAAGGTTAAGCCACGGGGGCTGGAACCCCAGGCAAGGCTATGTAGAGGAGAGTGGGGGCCAGGCCCCCGGGGTCAAAGGGCACCTGCTAAGGCCTCTCAGGTGGGGTCACCAGATGATAAGACCTCCACAGCCTGTGTCCAAGGTCCTACCAGGGGTGGGGTGGGCAGCAGCCCTGCCTACCTCCATGGTGATGGACAGCAGGCCCGAGAGGGCCACAACCACGGCAAAAGACTGATAGTCACTGAAGGGCTCAGACATGCCCTGGCTGATCCACAGGGTCATGAAGAAGTTGACTAGGGAGGTGGCCGTGCCGTGGGTGAAGGCTTGGAGGAAGACCCAGTAGTTGAAGAGCTCATCCTTCTGACCAGCGCTGTACAGCTGGGGCAGCTCCAGGCTCTGCTCGGCGCTCACGTCCTGGGGTGAGGGTGGGGATGGGGTGGGGAGATCCTGGAGGTTGGCAGCACAGCAATACGCACACGCTGGACTGTTCTTGGCATGCCTGAACCACGCTCACGAGAGTGGTGAGTTGGTGAATTTCGTTACTGGTGTTTTAGCACAGTTTAAAAACTATGTTTTTAAGATTTTATTTCTATATTTTCAGAGAGAAGGGAAGAGAGGGAGAAAGAGTGGGAGAGAAACATCTACTGGTTTCCTCCTTCATGCCTCCAACTGGGGCCCGTCCCACAACCCAGGCATGTGCCCGGCCAGGAACTGAACCAGTGACCCTCTGGTTTGAAGGCTGTGCTCAATCCATTGAGCCATAGCAGCCAGGGCTAAAAAGTTTTTAAAAACGGAGTTCAACCCTGACTGCAGTGGCTCACGGGATTGAGTGCCAGCCTGCAAACTGAAAGGTTGCTGGTTCAGTTCCTGGTTGGGGCCAGCTCCCCAGTTGGGGGCATGCAAGAGGCAACTGACAGATGTTTCTCACCCTCTCTTCCCCTCTCTCTAAAAAATAAATAAAATCTTTTTAAAATAAATAAATAAAAATGAAGTTCAAAGTCCCATTCCTAGGTCCCACCGAAGCATACCTGAAGTGCTCATCATTAGCCACCTGTGGCTGGTGGCTTCCATCTGGACAGCGTGGGCATGAGACACTTCCATCATCCTAAACATTCTACTGGACGGCCCTAGTCTGGGTTGCTTGGCCAGACCTTCTCGGGAGGGAGGCAGGGTAAACAGGAAAACCATCTCTGCGGATGCCCTCCCTACCACTGTTCAGAGGGGCAGGCAGTGGGACCAAGATTCCGAGCTAGTCCCACAAAGGGTGGGGGTGGCTGGGCAAGAGGGCTTCACCCACTGTGGGACTCTGGTGGGAACAGTTACATGGTAGTGGTTTCCCAGCCCCCCCCCCAACCTGCCCCAGCCCCACAGGGGGGCAGGTAGGGCAGAGACCAGAGCATCTACAGGGAAGGAGGAGACAAATCCTCAGCCTGCTCACCTGCTCGAAGAGCCCGATGTACAGAACCGGGAGAGAGGTGTACAGCAGGTTGAAGAGCACCAAGAACCAGCTTTCATACAGCGGCTAGGGCGGGGAGGGTGGGGAGGGCGGGGAGGGTGGGGAGAGTGGTTGGTGGTCAGCCTTCAGATGCCAAATGGCCAGAAACAGAAATGCTCTCTACGTGAGGAGACCCACCCAAGCCAGCTTGGCACCTGGGGAGGATTTCAGGTGAGTTAGAAATGTTCGTTATAATCAAAGGTTGGGTTAAATGAGGCTGGGAGTTAAAAGGCAGAGAGAAGAAGCGGGGTCTGATTCTTCTAAAACAGCGCCATTGAGTGTTTGACTGGAGGGCTTCAGTGAAGACCTATAGGAGGAAAAATGGCTACAGAATGTGGTTTTTGGTTGTTTTAACTTAGGGAGTCACGGATGGGTAAAAGAGTTGGAAAAGGCCCCACAGACAATGAGCCCAGCTCCCTTCCCGATGCACAAGTCCAGTCCAGTTAAAGGATATGAGTTTCGGTTCCAAGAGCCATTGTATGTGCATTTTGCGAGTGAGCAAATAAGTCATGATCAAGAACTTCACAAGAATCAAGTTTCTCCCTGCAGGAGAAGAGTCATAAATGAGTACCCGGAAAAGACTAAGCTGACACTTTGTCCCACGTGTTCTGTGGGACTGGAATCAGAGGTATCAGTGTGGACTCATTGTTTTTTAATACACACAAGGTAGGTAGACGATAGACACGGAAGTGGACAGAGACACAGAGACAAGCGTCTATCCGTGGGGCCGGATGTGTGCATTTCCTAGCTCTGCCTCCCGAGAGGGCGACAGCGCTCTAGCAGCAGCAAGCACACCGAGCCCAGCGCACTTGGCTCTTGGTGTCGAACTACAATTCTCTAATGACGGAACCAGGGCCCTCACGGGAGTGGCTGATTCCAGGGTTGGGGCAAAGAAAAAACAAAACGAGCCTGGAACCTCTCTCCGAGCCAGAAACTGAAGGTGTGCTCAGGGAAAAGCAGGCCCATGTCAAAAGGACAGATCGGGGACAATTGGAGCAATAAAATACACAATCAAATAAATATCCATGAGTCGATAATGATAAAAAGAAGTCATTTCACAAATGAACGAGGTTGAAGAAGGGGCTGGCTCTTCCTACAGAAGAATGCCAGTTAACAAACGTGGGAAGATGGCGTGCTGTCCTCTCCAAGGGCAGGAACAAGACGAGGGCGGCAGCCCTCACCATCCTACGGGGCATTCCAGCCAAAGCCCGTAAAGAAACGATATAAAAGGCATTCAAGCTGGAGAGAAAGAAGGAAAATTATCTCTATTTGCAGATAACATGCAGAAAATCCCAAAGGATCCGCCAGAAATCCCATAGAGCCAATAAAGGAATTCCACAGATTTGCAGGACACAGATCAACACACAAGAAACCATCTTTCTGGGTTAGTGGTCATGATCAGTTTAAGTAACATATAAGCTAATTTTCAAGAAAAAGAAAGGAAGGAAGGAAGGAAGGGAGAGAGAGAGAGAAACCATCTGTGTTTCGAGACAACAGCAGCAAGCAATCCCAAAAGGAAATTAAGAAAACAAATTCCACGTATAGCAGCACTGAAAAGAATAAAATATCTATAAATAAAAAAGTAAAACAAATAATACATACTTATCAAGGGCGCCTCTGTACAGTCCCCTCTCAAATGCCTGGGTGTCGGTGGCAGAGAGCTCATCCCTGTCACAGCTGTCTGTTTTCAGGTGATGTCCTTACACACAGGGACTCGTCACCCTATGGCTCTTCTGAGGCTCCGGGAGGCACATCTGCTCTTCACTATGATACTGTCGAGAGTCTTGAAGTCTAGACCCAGCCCCCACAGTCTTCTCTTTGCTGGAGCTCAAGCTTTCCCTCTTTCCCCTGGAAAGGGCTACCTTTGGAGCACCTGCCCTGCCCTGCCCTGGCTTCAGTGTTCAAATCTGCCAAATATCCCTGAAAAGTTTGGGCCCAGTGCTGTGCAGGAAACCTCCCCTCCCTTTACCTGGACTCTAGACCTCTGAAAGCAGCCCCAGAAAATGTTTCGTGGTCCTGCGACCTCAGGCAAGCCCTGCCGCGTGAGGACCCCGGAGTGTGAGCGTGCCCGCTGCCCTCCTGGAAGTCACAGGAAGGGCTCAGCACCCACAGAGCATCCCCAAGGGGCTGTCCCTCCAGCGCACCTGGGCAGTGAAGCCGCTGTAGAAAGCGAACCAGATCTGAACCATCATGCTGGCCAGCGTCTTATAGATGAAGTAGCGCAGGAACTTGCAGACTCGCATGTAGGACCAGCGGCCATGCACCAGCAGCAGCCGCCTCAGGAAGCAGAACTGGGCCAGCATGTAGTCGCTGTTCTGCACCGCCTGCGTGCCCTCCTTGCCTGCCAGCCCTACGCCGATGTCCGCGGCTGCAGGGACACACACAGTCCGTTGGCCCTGGGCCACCCCTGGCCCGCCGCAGACCTCCCCCAGGCCTGGTGCCCACCACTCACTCTTGATCATGTTGACGTCGTTGGCACCATCCCCGATGGCCAGGGTCACCACATTCTGGTATTTCTTGACCAGTTCCACGATCAAGGCCTTCTGCTTGGGTGTCATCCGGCAGCAGATGACCGCTCGGCACCTCGAGGCCAGTTCAACGAAGGCCCGCTCCCGTCGCACCTGGGGGCTCTCGTGTGTGTTGGACTCTTTGTTCTGTGGCACCAGCCCTACGCTTCCCAGCCAGGTCCTGAGGGTCTGCCCCCTCAGAGAGGTGTGCCTGGCCTGCAGGAAGTCTGTCCTCCGCTCGCCTGGCTCCTGCCAGGACTCCTCCGCGTCCATGTTCACATTTTGGACCAGCACCCGGGGCTCCTTGCTCAGAGAGAGCAGCAGCCGGTCCTGGCCAGCAAGGGAGGGTGGGGGGCAAGGGAGCACATCACTCTGCCTGCACCCCTCCCCTTCGTGAACCTTCCGTGCTGGCTGCTCCTCCTGCCCCAGCCCCAGCCCCAGGCTGGACTTGACTACAGGGCTCCAGACTCTGAAAACCATCTCGACATAGCATTCACTTTGGTTTTTTCAACAGCCCACCCCAACCCTCCCCCCACCCCGCCATCTGCTACTGCTCCCAGGCCCCTCCCATGTGTCAGGGGCCCCATAGTCGGCTCTGAGCTGACACTGACCAGGAACTCTCCACTAATGACCATGGCCATCTTGACCTGGAGCTGGTTCTTCAGGGAGCCCTTGCCGCTCAGCAGGTTGTTGTTGCTCTCCCAGTAGGCCTCCAGGACCTGACTGCAAGGACCCAGCTGGGGCTCAGCCATGCTTGCGTACAAACTTTCTTCCATCCCCTCCCCAGCCGTGCCTCAGTTTCCCCTTTGGAAGTCCAGCCAGGTGGAGGTTGAGGACATTCTGCAGGTCCCCAGGGCCACACCTGAGCTATGGGTGCCCCCTAATACCCACCCTCACCCTGCCCCCACCAGTCTCTCGCCCCCACCTGCCCTCCTTACGCTATCTCCTGCTCCTCCAGAATGAGCATGTCCTCGGACAGGAGCTGGCAGGCAAAGCCGATATTCACCACTGTCTCTGCAAATCAGCCCAGCTCAGCCTCTGGGCAGCCTCCTGCCCAGGGGCCATGTCCACCCTGCCCCACCCACTAGCTATGGCAATTGGTTCAGTGAAGGGCATGTGATCCAGGCAGCCAATGAGAGCCAGCCCTGAGACTTTGGCTACAGCTCTGAGCAAAGGGGCCTGCACTCTGGCTGTCTGGGGCTGAGCAGCTAGAGGGAGGCAAGTCTGGGACCGGAGCCAAGAGATTATTAGACATATCATGCCTAGGGCCCGTGGCACTTTTAGGAACCCCCCAAAATGACTTAATTCCTTTCCAAATCAGAAGAAGAAAAAAAAGTAAATGTATTCCAGCCTGGACATTTGTCCTTATACCAACACAGTTGTAAACTGTCATTTTAAATGTTCTGTGCGCCTGTGCCCCCGTCCACAGAAGTGCTAACGGTGGGCCTGCTGGCACCCATGTCCGGTGGGGTCTCGGAGATCCCCAGTGGGTAGGGGAGAGCCAGGGCTCCGGGGACACAAGCTCTGAGGTTCCATGCCAGCTTTGTCTCTAAGTGGCCAGGCAGCTTCCAGCAGGCGCCCCGAGGTCTCTGAACTCAGCTGGGCCCACCTAACATGCAAGGGTGACAAGAGTCTCAACTCGTGGTGTTGCTGTGAAGGCCAGACACTCCAGAAGCGCTCAGCACAGTGTGCCCCCCAAAGGGAGGTGCCTGGGGGACCCCAGCAGTTCTAATCACCCCACTTCCTCCTTTCCCAAGAGAAGGTAGGGGGCAGGGTTGAACCCAGACAAGCGGGATGGGCTGATGGTGGCGCTGGGGGCACATAAGCATTCTCTCCCACCTGTCCCCCTTCTCTCCCTGCTGGGGCCGGCTGTCCAGAGACCTACCTGGCTTGTCTCCCGTGAGTACCCACACTTTGACGTTCCCTTGCTTGAGACACTGGATGGTTTCCAGGACGCCATCCTGGAGCCTGTCCTCAATGGCTGTGGCTCCCAGCAGCTAGGTGGGCAGGGAACAGATTGCGCAGTGACCCAGCTACCCTAGCAGGGGTGGGAGATCTGGGAGCCCACAGGGCTGGAACCCCCTTGCCTCTGGTGCCACGCCCACCTGGAGGTTCTGCTCCATCTCCTCATACACCTGGTGCAGGGCTCGGGCCCGGTTCTGATGAAGGGCGCTGGCCTCCTGGTGCCGTTGGCGCCACTCCACATAGGTGTCCTCATCCACCTTTTTGTAGGCCAGGCACAGCGTGCGCAGGGTCTGCTTGGCAAAGGACTGGGGACCGGCCGGGCCATCGTGTCACCGCCCTGCCTCCCTGGCACTTCTCCAGACACTGCCTCTCTCAGGCCCTCTCCCTCCGCCTAGGCTTCCTGAACCTTGACCCCCACCCACAGTCTGTTCTCCCCAAAGGGAGCCGGGATCATGTGCCGCCCTGCTCCCCACTTACTCAGCCTCCCAAGAGGCCCAGGTCTGTTCTGCCTCCAGACCTTTCCAACCCCCCACCAGGACCTCCCTCCCTACACTCTGCGTAGCAATTTCTAACTATCCCTGAAGACCCTCAGTGCAGCCCTGCCGGACCCCATCTACCACTTAGAGAGGGAACTAAAAGAAAAAATCCTGTGGGTGTCCAGCCCCACCCGCACTCCCACTCCCACTGGGAGAACGTAGAGCTCCAGAGATGCCCTGGGGGCTGGGTGGCCCCAGGGCAGGTACCTGTCCAGCTCCTTACTTGCCTCCCACTCCCTTGCCCCCAGGTTTTGTGCCCTAGTAGGTGGCCCCAGGTCTTGCTTTGGCTCTTCTTTTTTTAATATTTTATTTGCTTTTAGAGAGAGGGGAAGGGAGGGAGAGAAACATCAACGTGCAAGAGATACATCTATCCATGGCCTCTCGCAGGCCTCCAACCGGGCCTGGCCTGCAACTCAGGCACGTGCCCTGACTGAGAATCGAACTAGCAGCCTTTCAGTTCGCAGGCCGGCGCTCAATCCACTGAACCACACCAGCCAGGGTTTGCTTTTGTTCTTGACTGGAGGTGGACCTCACAGGTTGGGCTTGGACATGGCAGGGGCTCCCTGGCTATCAGGAGCTCCACACAGGGGTTTTGCTCCTCTTGTGCCTCAGTTTACCTATCCATTCCATGGGGCAGTTGAGCCAAGCCATCTTGCCAAGCTCCTGGACTCGGGTCGTTGTTCTGACTGCACTTCCCCAGTTCTTAGTCAGAGACCAGCCGCCTGCCCCAGGCTCCCCATCCCGGCAGAGCAGGGACTCTGAAAAGACCTGAGTGAGGGCCCCAGGGCATTCTTTGCACAAAGGCACCCCCATGGTGCCTGTGCTGGATGATCTGGAGATGCAGCAAAGGGCTTGAGGAACCCCAAAGGGTTGGGAGTGGGCTGAGAGCGGTAACTTGGTATGACATGTCAGCCCCATGTCAGGGTCAGGCGGAAAGTCTTTCTGGAGGTGGGGACCAGGAGTGGCAGAGCCCTGAGAACACAAAGGTCCTGAGTGACAGAGTAGAGGAAGGCATCCAAGCAGAGGGAACAGTGTGTGCAGAGGCCCTGGGGGATCGCCTGAGCATGGGGGAAACTGCAAGCCAGAAACTGGGGTCCTGGGGAACCTCTTGGAGGGCACCAAGAGCCAGTCTAGAGAAGCTGGCAGGAGACACAAAGACACAGCCTTGAAAGCCTGACTGAGGAGTTTTGAGTTCACCATGGAGACAAAAGATTTGTGGGCAGGGAGGCTGAGTGTGTCCCAGAGCCAGGCCTGGCTTGGTGGGTGAGGCATCCAGGGCCAAAGACTAGCCACAGAGGGTCCTTGTGTGACAGAAAAAAATGCCTCTCTGTGCAGGTGCATCTTGGAGTTCAGGTCCTCCCTGCCCACGTGTGCTGGGGGAAGAGCGCAGCCTGGCCGACTGTGCATGACCACCCTGCACACCTGAGGCCATCTCTCCACACGCCCTCCTCCTCCCCCTCCCTCCCCCTTCCCCTCCGTATTCCCTCCCTTCCCACGGGGCCTCACCATTAAGGCCTCTTCCGTGGTGGTCCACTCTTCCAAGCCTTTCTTACACAAGCGATCAAAGAGGACAATATCTGCGCCTTTGGTGTAGAGGTAGATGGAGCCCTCGGGGTTTCGGACTGTGGAGGGAGAGGCCTGGCTGCCCATAAGCACACCCATTCCTTCCCACCTCCATCCCCGTGCCGAGGGAGCTCACCCAGCACGGACATTCGCTTTCGGACGCTATTGAAGTCCATCATGGCCAGGACCTGATACACCCGCTCTTCCCCCAGCTCCACCACCGTGATGCTGTCCTGCGTGCGCGCCAGGAACACGTAGCCGAAATTCCTGGCTGCTGTGACCAGCGCCTCCTCATCAGGGGAAGCTGCCTGGTACAACAGCTGGTCTGGTGGGGGCGGGGACCGTGGGAGTGGGGGTAGGGGGAGGTGAGCATTTGCTGAGAGCGGACTGTCTTTTGGGGACCCACCACCCATCTGCGGGAGGTCCCACTTCCACCCGTGTAGCCCCAGGGAGGAAACAGACACAGTACGTGCTCACCAGATATTGACAAGACAATGGCTCTGGGGCGAGCACAACCTCTAAGCCAAACAAAAGAAAGTGGGCACTTGGATCCCAGTCTAGATGACTTTCCCTCCCAGCTCAGTAACAGACCGTGAGCTCCAGGCCTGGATACCCTCTAGGTCCAGAAGAGGTTGGGCTTGGTACCCAGGCCTGATCACCCTCCAAGCTGGATGGCAGGAGCCCTGGGGTCAGCTGGACAACTTCTAAGGCAGGAAGACCACCTCAGAAGGTCCAGGGCCAGAATGCCCTCTCAGGTTGGGCAGCCTGCAACGCACTCACTGTCTTTCTTCTGCACCATCACTGTGTGGCAGATGGCCAGCAGGCGCCAGAACTCCCGCACCATCCTGTCCTCGTTGCTCCGCACAGTACCCAGGAGCCTCGCATTTTGGAAGAGCAGCTTCCCATCGGCAAATTTGTTCCAGAGGTAGGGGCTCTCCTGGGGTGGGGGACAAGCTGGTTATGGGTGGGACACTGCTCACCCCTCCCTATACATCCAGTGCTACTGGGCCAGCACTCACCTTACGCAGGGCCTCCTCCTCGTCGGGGCCTGGGGAAAGACCTCGTTTCAGGCCTCAGCTCCCCGGACTGCTCGGGGTCCCGCAGCCCCCACCCTCAGTGCCAGGCTCCCTAGGGCCTGAACTCCAAACTAGACACCCAGAACAACAAAGGACTCTCAGCCTTAGCTTTGCCATATGCACAAAGGAGGAAAAGATGGAGCCCCATTACCTGGGGATCTTAGAAGAGCCACCCAGAGAAGAATGAGGCCCCAGTGAACACATCTTTTGTGAACGATTAGTGGTGATTCTTAAAACCTGGTTGCCGACTTGGAGAAATTGGGTGATTGCAAATAAGAGCCTGGGCCCAGAGGGCTTATAGAAACCCAGGTCAATGCCACTCACCACAGGCACCACTGTTCCCTATCGCCCACCTCCTAGACTCTGGCTGAGGGGTAGACGGCATTTCCGTTTCTCATACTGGTGACTGCCTGCTACACCTAACCATTTCCCAGCTGGGTCCTCTGTCAGCTCCTGCTCTACATCCTGTCCTCTAGCTATAGACTAGACCAGGGGCTGGGGACCTATGCACTACGCTACTGCCAGCTTTTAAGTGTGGGCTATGAGTTAAGAAGGGTTTTCATATTTTTAGTTGGTTGAGGAAAATCAGAAAAAGAATATTGTCTTGTGAAACATGAAAATGCCATAGAATTCAAAATTAGTGTCCTCAGTAAAGGTTGGTGACAATCAGAAGCGGAATATTCTGTCTCGTGACATGTGAGGCACTATGAAATTCGAAGCGTGGTGTCCACACGCAGCAGCTGCTTTCTGGGGACAAGGGCTGCGCTGAGTCTCCACAGAGACGGCGCAGCAGGCAGAGCTGAGAATATTGACCTGCTGGCCCCCAAAGAGAGGATGCCTTAGGCTGCAGCTCTGGATGGGAGTGCTGGGGATGAGGCTGAGGGGGGGGGAGGTCAGCCATCCCTGAGACCCACACAGCTCTCCTGGCCCTCGCAGTTCCCCCCGGGAGCCCTGCCACACCCCAAGGCTCGTCCTTGCCAGGCAGCCCCACAGGTAAGCGTAGGTAAGGGACGTGCCAGGGCCAGGGCCCACCGTAGACAATGCCGTCGATGCAGCACTTCCTGAAGGTCATGATGTTCTGTGTGAGCGTGCCTGTCTTGTCGGAGAAGACGTACTCCACCTGGCCCAGCTGGTCGCTGAGGCTGGTGTTGCGGGCTTTGGCAGGCATGTCCTGGGGCTCGTAATACATCTGCACATCCCAGTTGATGAAAATGCTGTTCCCCAAGTGGATGAATTCAGCTCTGCAAACGCAAGCTGGGTCACGCCCTGGCCCGTACCCGCCCCGGCTCCCACACGTCTCCCTCTGAGCAGCGGGTGGGGAGGACGCTCACGTGAAGAACGTGGACATGGGCACCATGACGCTGAGCAGGATGAGGAAGCTGCAGGAGTTGAGGAAAGACTCGGTGGTCACACTGTGCACGTGCTTCTCAGCCACGTAGTGGTGCTTGGCCTTGAATTCTGTCACCATGTCCCGGAAGCCCAAGGTCAAAGCCATAGAGATCAGCACCAGGAACACAAAGATCTGCTCAGCAAATGAGAGGGTGGAGCGTGTGGAGAGACCCGGAGCAGCACCTAGATGCCTCAGGGACTCGCTGACAGGGACAGAGTCAGTGTAAAAGACAAACAGAAGATGGGAAGCCCCTCCCCCCCCAACCAAGATCCGCCCTCAGGATCAGGAAGAGGAGCTGGGAGGTGGCTGGCAGTCCCAGGGGGAGGGGAACTTGCAGGGGTTTTGCTGGGTTTTGTGGCTGCTATTTTAAAAGTTATGACAATGATTTTTAAAAAGATAAAGTTGATTAGGCAAAAACTTAAGAATTGTTAAATAAGTGTGCATGGAGATAAGGTGAACATTTTATTATCTTTTGTGGGTTTGGGAAAATGTCAGGACCAAAATTTATTTTGTAGCCCTGAGTGATGTGGCTCAGATGCTTGGACTTTGTACCACAGAGCAAAAGATCTCCGGTTCAGTTCCCAGTCAGGGCACGTGCCTGGGCTGTAGGCCGGTCACATGTGAGAAGCAACCAATCGATGTTTCTCTCACACATTGCTGTTCCTCTCCCTCTCTTTATCCCTCCCTTCCTTTCTCTTTAAAAATAAATAAAATCTTTATAAAAATTTATTTAGAAAGACATTTTTTAATATCATGATTATAAGAAGATTCTCTGGCCCACAGACCTATCTGTATGATCAGGACGCATGTTTTGCAGAGGAGGAGACCGAGCCCTGAAAAGTGACAGCTGGGGCTTCTGTGGGGAGGGCCCTCTCCCTTTCCCCTTCGGTGTTCCTTCCCACTTCAGGGCAGGGCTCTAGGCAGCTCACCAGCATCACCAGCCTGTTCATCAGACGATCTATCTTGGTTCTCTTCAGATGGATCTTGCCACAGTTCCTCATGATCTTTGTGTCAAAACCTGTAGGGTTTGCATCCATCCATCCATCCATCCATCAAATCCTCCGCCCCTGTGTCACCCCACCCCTCTACCCATGCACCCACCTGCCCAGTCACCCACCCATCTACAGACAAGTACGCTGCTTTTTCCAGCCAGACAACAAGGGTGCTGGCTCAATACGTCCATTTCCAAAGTTCTAGAACCCAGGCCCCATAGAAGCCACGCTGGGAGCCCCACGTCTTATGCTGCAGACACACGGCAGCCAGGCCTGGCCTCGTGACTTTTTCCCAATGACCACAGGGCTCTTGCCCACCCGCCCCAGGACAGCTCGCACTGCAGAGGCCCTAGAGCGGCTGTACCGGCATAGATGACCATTCCGTAGCAGGTGTCTGTGTTCCGGATCTTGCAGCCTCGTAGAAGGATGTTGCCACTGTCCAGGGAGTATTTCTTGCCCTCCCACTTCAAGTGTCCCATTAAGTGGTGCATTCGACTGTTGGGTTCTTCACACACCACCTTGCCTATGGGCAACCATGGAGCCGAGGACATGGCTGGGGTTGGGCCACCCCTCCCCAGTGCAGGGTGGGGCAGGTTGTGGGGAATATTCCATCACCCTCTGGTTCCGGCCCCCATCATGGGCCCTGTACTGTCTGTCCAGAACTTGCCCCTCTGGCATCGCCACCCCGCTGCCACGTAGCCTCTCCTGGATTCTCCAGAGCTGGCCCTGTTAAGCCTCAAGGCTTCCGTACATGCTCCTCCTTGTGCCAGGACTCACAGCTCCTTAGGGAAACCCTCTCTGACCCTCCAGCCAGATCAGTTTCCCTGCCAAAACCCCTTCCTCCTGGTTATATCCTGGGGGGTCAATAGACATTTACTCCTGCCACTGCTGTCGTGAATACCTATGAGTTCTCGGAGAGGAGGTGCCAGCCTCGTCTCCGTCATGCTGGGACCCTGCAGCCCCGCCCTGGCCCACCGTGCCCGGCCCTCCCCGCAAACACGGCTTTCCTCAGATATCATGGAAACAACCAGTGCATGAGTGTCGAGAGCAAAGGGGCCGTGGTTTGAGAGAATGAGTCTGCTCTAGAGCCAATTAGAGTGTCCTGTCTTTGCGACAAGGCAGGGAAAAAGTCATGCATCCCCTTGCTAGGCTCTGGCAAACTGTAGTCGTACCCACAGGTGTGAAATGTCTCACTTTTCAGGTGGAAAATAAGAAGCTGTGATGGATAGGTCGGTTCCCTGTCTGTCTGCACAGGCTGCCTTCATCATTAAAAAACCAAAAACATTTTCTTTAATGTGATCACATTTCAAAAATAAAATGCAATGCCTGATAAAATGGTGCAGCATGTTTCATAACAATAACAGAAAACACCTCGACTGTTGAGTGGATGGAAAGAACATGAAACAGCCCTGGCTGGCGTAGCTCAGTGGATTGAGCGTGGGCTGCGAACCAAAGCATCGCAGGTTCAATTCCCAGTCAGGGCACATGCCTGGGTTGCAGGGCACGGCCCCCAGCAACCGCACATTGATGTTTCTCTCTCTCTCTCTCTCTCTCCCCCTCTTTCCTCTCTAAAAATAAATAAATAAAATCTTAAAAAAAAAAAAAAGAAAGAAAGAAAGAACATGAAACAGGCCCGGGATAAGCTGGCCCTTTCAAAGCCATCCCAACCCCCCAGCACCTCCCAGCAGGCCCCACCGCCATCCCCAGACCCAGTGAGAGGGGGAACTTTCACGTCCACTGCACGGAGGGACTGACAAAGGCCCGGGTGGAGTGCATGAATCACCACTGCTCACCTTGAAAGGAAGTCATGTTCCTGATGCTGGTTAGCTCATGGTGTGTGACCGTCAGGGCCTGTCTGAACTTCAAGTTGGTCTCCCTGGTGATGAGAAGGGAGGAAAGTGAGAGGTGGGAACAAGTAGCACTCTGGGCAAGGCCACGCCAGCCCCCTTCCAGAGCCACTGAAACATTTTCACTGAGCCCCTACTGTGCACCAGCTGCCAATCAGGAGGCCAAGGCCCAGAGAGGGAGAGGGCCTTGCCCAAGGTCACACAGGACATGAGCAAAATGGCTGAGGCAAAACTCTAAGGTCTTCTCATTTTCAGGCACCTGCACCTGAAGCACAATAGGGCCCCAGCAATGTTGCTGCAAAGAAGGTGGGCCCCTTCTTCTGATTTAATATTATTGCCCCCTGCCCGTTTGCAGGTGCCCCACACGTGCTCCCAGGATGAATGACCTAAATACCCCAGTGGGCTTGGGGAGCCACATTTTGTGGCCACTGGGGAAGGTCTCGCTGGTTCCCAGGTTCCCAAGCCCCCAGCGATGACCAGCGCCTCACCCATCAATGTCGGCTGTCTCCACATAGCACAGGCTGCTGGGCTCCGTGCTGGCCAGCAAGAGCACGTCGGCCTGAGTGGGGAGGTGGAGTGGGAGGTGGAGGTGGAGTGGGTGGAGTGGAAACAGCATTGTGGAGAGGGCTGGGGGGTGGGGACCAGAGGAAGACAAGCAGGAAGGCAGCCCTCCCCCAGCAGCAGGGAGTTCTGGGCCGGCTGATAGTAGCTCACCGGGACAATGTTGTCTTTGTGCAGACGAACGAGGTCCCCCACACACAGGTCCTTCCATTTTTTCCACAGAAAGCTGTGGGGGGCAGGTGGCAAATGTGAGAGGGGACCCCAATCAGGCCCACCTTTGGAACCCCAGGCCCCATGCCACCCCCAAGCTGGAAGAACACCTTGGGGAACCGGCTGCAGATGCCCCTGGGGTGCTTTACTTCCCTGCGTGCCCACCTGCAGGTCTTTGGGGGGTGCGGTGGGCTCGGCCCACCTAGGAAGTCCAACCTTCCCCAACTTTTCCCCTCCTGCTCGTTCTGTATCCAGGTCCCTTCAGACCTTCTCTGCCTCTCTCTGCAGCTGCACTTGCAGCCCTGCGAGGGTTAGCAGTCAGGTCCTCATCCTCTGTCCCACCACAGGGCCCACACCCAGGCCTGGTAGACAGCAGGCATCTAATAAATGCTGGCTGGGTCTCTGTCAGACATCAGACTCAACCGGGATGCCCAGGGGACATGAAAGGTTCCAGGCACTCCAATGGGCACCCCTCCCTGATGTGTCCTCACCCTTCCACACCCCCCTCCACTGTGCTGGAGTCTTCTTCCTTAGGACGAACTTCCCCCAACACAGCACCAGAGGCCTCACCTCTTCCCGACCAGCACCTGGCACAGCCTGTTGTTGACGGTCCGGTCACTCCTGTGTCGACCCTGAGCCAACAGCGTGGATCAGAGGGGGGGCTCCACCCCAGCCCTGCTCCCCCAGGGTGATCCCACCCCCAGCCATGCCCCCATCCTGCCCCCACACTGCCCTGGTGAGGGCCCAGGTGCAGAGCACAGTTCCAGCTCGCACATGTGGTCCCGATAGTGAGCCCACACCATCCACATCTGTCTGGGGCCCCTGGTTGGGGAGGGGACTGTGGAGACAACCGCTATTGGCAGCAGAGGGAAGGCATAGTCCACCTGCCACCCAGAGTGGCAGCAAGGGCCAAAGGCCACAGGGCACTACCCCTTGTGGCAGCAAGACAAGGACCCCACCTTGTCCCCAGTCCCCTCCCCAACTTTACTTCGACCCCACTTACAATGTCATCCACCAGGTCTCGAGTGGCCCGGATGACGAGCAGAGAGACGAAGGGAGTGAAGAGGGTGAACCACGGCAGTGTGGAGATCTCGGGGACGCCCTGACACACAGGTGGGTCATGCTGGGTGGGCAGTGCTGACCCTGCATCCCTAACACTCCCTGCAACCGCTGCCCCCGTCCGCCCACCCAGCCCCTCAGCCTGGCATTCTGTGTCCCACCTGCCAACTACCTGGGCCCGGGGCCGGCCACCTCCCCACACAAACCTTGGGACGGCTGCCTCTCCACTTCCTCTCCCTTCCCGGAACTTCTCCCCAGCAGACTCATCTCCCCTCCCTGACCAGCTCCCATGTCGCGCTCCCCAGGAAGCCCTGCTGACCCCAAGCTTGCTCCCCGCTCGGGGCCTTGGCTTTACTGTCTGTAAGCCCGCTCTTCCCAGTCACCCTTCAGGCCTGAGCTCCAAGTGAACCCCAGATGGGCCTGGGTGGCATGTGGGTCCCCTTGCCATCACTGGTTCCCGCTATACGGCTTGATGACAGTGGCTATCAGGGCCACTGCCAGGCCTCCAGTGTCCAGCATAGGACCCACACACTATATGTTTATTGGATCGATGGATAAAAGCAGAGGGTCGGAATGGAATGAATGTTAGGTGAATGGACTGCTAGGTGAGGGGCAGGGTGCTCTGTAAACTGCCCACCCGCTGAAAGAGGAAGCTTCTCAGGCAGGACTCTGCCCCTCTGGCAGGGCCACCCAGGTGCTAGCAAGTGGCCCGGAGGGTCCTGAGAATCTGTTCTCAACTCTTCTTTCCTCTTCACCCTTTGAGGTCAGGTCAATGGGTTGGGGCCAAGGGGGTCATGTGGCCAAGGCCATCCATCCTGGGGAGGCTCTGTGCCCTCCTCAAACTCAGAGGAGCCACTCATGCACCTTCATCACTGAACATGTATACTGAGCGCCTCCTGTGAGCCAGGCCCTGGGCCAGGCAGTGGGAATGCAGCCATGAGGGCGCTCCCAGTGTGTGAGGAGCCAGATACTGACCCCTTACAACTGCACAGTCAGACTACACACTTGAACCTCCGTGTATCTACAGACCCATGTGTCAAAACTAGTCAAGGAGGGCTTCCTGGAGGAGGCAATTTGAGCAGGTGGAAGGAATGGTGTGTGCGCAGGTGCCACCCTCACTCTACCCTACCTGGAGGATGATGATAAAAAGGAAGTAGACGTTGGACATTCGGTGGAACTGCTCATACAGATTTAAGGGCAGGAAGGAGAAGAAGTTGTACTTGGCCGTGTGGATGGTGTTGTCCTGCAATGACAGCCAGCATGGGGCGCTGCTCTGGCCAGGGCTCCACTCTGGTCTTGCCCCACCCTTTGCTCACAATCAGCAACAATTGAGCACCCAAAATGTGCAAAGCCTGCAACACGCATTAACTATCTACCAAACCCAAGGCCTCAAGCCAGCTCTACCGAGTACCAGCTGAGTGAGAGCCTCGAGCCAGCATCAGCTGAGCCCCTGCTACATGCAAAGACCTTTCGAGCAGGGCCCTGACTCCAGTATTTTCCAAAGTGAGACACATGCAAGGTGATTTTAAAAAGAGCCTGATGAACACATTGTACTTTGAATGTTTAGTATTAATTAACTGATTTTAAGGTGAACTGGGGTGGGGCCAAGGACACACAAGAAATTCCAGCGCCAAACTGGTAATTCGCTGATTAAAACTGGGGGGAAGGGGTAGGCTGGGTGGGAGGAGGTCGGGGAGGGCAGTAAGGCTGGGGCTACCCACCTTGTACTTCTTCCTCTGCCAACACAGGAAGGCCTTCTCCCTGAACTGGTCATTGTAAGTCCGGTCGTTGGCCTTCACTTCCCAGGTGAACGCTGAAGCCAGAGAGAATGGGGCGTGGTGTGGGGCGCATACAAACGCTACCTAATGATCCCCAGGGGAGGTCTAATGGGCCTCCGGGGGAACCCAGACACTCTCTGCCATGGGTGTGGGAGCTGGTAAACAAACACCACTCTGGGCCAGGCCCTAGGCACAGAGGACATGCCCTGGGAGACCCATTCACACCCATTCCTTTCACAGAGGGGGTAAAACTGAGGCCTGGTGCCCAGCTCCGAGGTGTGCGAGGCTGCTCGCCCAACCTGGGCAGCCCAGCTAGTTCAGGTCTGCAGCCCCCAGTTCCTTAGCCTGGCATTCAGTTCTGGGATCTGGGACTATTTGTAAGCTGCGGACAACCCCATGCTGGGTCTGTCGAATGGGTTTGGGTGGTCTCCCTGTCTCCACACTCCAGCCACCACCCTATAAGGCCCCTTGGTTTCCTCCACAGACCCCATGTCACCCACTTGGCCCCAAAACATGCACCTGAGTTCTTTTCTTCCTCAAGGTCCTTGCTGTAGGCCAGACTGCCCCTGCTGGTTGGGCTGTAGGGGGAGAGGGTTCAAGGTTACACCAGTGGCCCAGCCCTTGCTAGACACTGTCTATTACTCCACCCCCTTCAAAACATCACCTCCCACTTCCATCGGCTGCCCCCTCCCCAGGCTCTGAAGGTCCAGCCACTGGCTCTGTGTTCTACCCTGGATATCTACTGATCCCCAATCTTGCAACAGCCTCACATTCACCAGTCCTCCCAGCTACCAAGCTGAGGTTGCCTCAACTTCCATTACAGCCAGTACCCCAGGATGGATTCTGGTCAGCGCTGCCGACCCTCAGGGCTGCCCTCAGTCCAGGCTACCATCATTCCTCCTGGGATGGCCATACCCACCTCCTCCAGTTTCCCTGCTGCCCCTCTCCTGCCCCAGTTCCCACATGGGACACAATGCCCATCCCACTGAGGGGCCCATCAGTGTTCACTGATTGACTACATCGGCCCCAGGGCTATACATCATGTCGGTAAATGTGTATACTAGCTGCTCGGAGCCAAGCTGCTCCGAGAGGTCTCAGGGCAGTTAACTGTGATGGAGGCAGACACCAGACCTTCCACAGAGCCCGAACCTTCTCACCGCTTAGTTCATGGTCACTCCTTCAGTGCCAGGAACTTGTCTCACCAGGGGGCCCTCAGCAGCTCTCTAAGTCCTTGCCGGGGCAGTTCCCTCTGCCCAAGAAGCAACCTTCCCGCATGCTTGGCCACAGCCTCCTCACCCTTCTGGTCTCAGCTTATAGTTCTCAGATGGTCCCGGCTTGTTCAGGCACCTCCTCTGGGCTCTCCCTCTGCCTGGGATGTCCCCCATTCCAGGTCTCACCACCTTCTCTCCTCTGCTTCTTCCCCTGTCTGGGAGGCCGCGTGCACTGGAAACCTCCCAGGGCAGGAGGGCTGGTGTCTGAGTCACGTGTGTCCCTGGAGCCATGGGGTAGGACCTGCTCAGGGACCGCTCTCCTGCTCCTGGGAGCCTGAGTCGTGCCATACCCCTTCCCCAAAGGAAAAGAAGTGAGGCTCGGCCAGTGACCTAGAGCCCAGGGAGACCCCGCACAGGGCAGGTGGGGTTGGAGAGGTGATGGGACCGCCAGAATTCACCCAAAGTAGTGTAGCTAGGATAGGAAGACGCCCCAGCGCTTGCCTCCTCCTCACTCCTATGCAGCTCACCCAAGCTCCCCTTTAGCTGTCCTTCCCGAGGTCTCAAGGCGTGGATTTCAAGGCCCAACCGGTCCCCTCCCCCGGGTCCTTCCTGGTCGGGGAGATCGGTGTACACAGTCGGCACCCCTCCGGATTCTGTCCTGCGCGAACCTCTACAGGGCGCCAGCTCCGCAGTTGCAGGGACCTCCCGCCCATCCTCTGACGGATGGAGTCCTGACAGGTTGCGCGGGAATGCACAGCAGCCTGAGCGCCGCCGCCCACAGGCACGGGCCAAGGCGCAGTCCTGCCTAGGGCACTCCGCGGGCGTCCAGGGTTGGGGTGTGGGGGCGTGAGTGGGGAGTGGGGAATGTACTGGTGCAGTTTGCCTGGTGCCAACGGCCTGAAAAGGGAAGTGCGGGCGCGGGGCCAAGCAGGGTCGAAGGGCGAGCCTAGGCTGAGGATGACCTTGGGGGGCGCTGAGGGAGGGGCCAAGAAGTCGAGGAGTCCAGGAGGGGCCTTGCAGAGAGGACCTGGGTAGGGGAAAGGTAGGGCAGCCCTGTGGGCGGAGCGAGGGCAGAGGCGGAGCCTGGGAGGGTTCTCTGGAGTGGTGCCAGCTCAGGGGTGAGCCCGCTGCTGTGGGTCGGGGACTGCGGTGGTCAGCGGGCGGGGTCTTAAGCAACAGGACAGGCGATGAGGGGGCATGTCTTAATAGCTACAGGGTGTTAAGGGGCCAGTCCTTTAGGGGCAGGATCTTGTAAAGCTGGGCCTGGGTGAGGGGGATTGGAGCCTGCTGAGGTTGGGCGGGGCAGGTATGGGACTAGGGGCGGAGGAAGGACGCACCCTTAGATAACTGCAAGTCTGAGGGCCTGGGTTTTCACACGTTCTATGCGCAGGCGCAGTGTTGGGCGCCGGGCTAGGGCAGGCCGTTAGAGCCACTGAGACTATCCCCATACCTGGAGGAAACCCATAAGGCTCTGCGCTGGTTTGTGCCCACTGAGTGAGCAGCATGGGCTTTCGGGGGATCTTCCTGAAGGAGGCGATGGGGTGGGAGACAGTGGTGAGGCTGAAGCCGCCTCCTGCTGGAGATGGGGAACTGAGTCAGGGCAGAAGGGTGTGTGGAAGGCGCTACTAAAATTAGGGTCGCCTTGAGAGTTGGGGCTTACGGGGGTGGGGCAAACTGGGGGGCACAGGAGATGATTAGCTCTGTGTTTCACATTTTCACTTTTTGGAGGCCCCTGAAGCGCGGAGATCAGGAAAGCAGTGGGCTCTGGGCACTTCCCCCCAGCCCTGGGGTCCTTCACTCTGGCCCAGTCCTGACCCAACATACAGGGGTGCCTGTGTCTGACTGTGCCCTAGTGTCTTCTTCCTACCTGGGCTGAGTGCCCCTGAAGTACCAGCATCGCCCATGAGCAAATGGGTGAGTGAATGATGGGTGAACAGCAACTTCCCAATCACTTTTCTTTGAAAGGTGGGTCTGCACATCCTGCTTGGCCTCTGGGAGCGCCAAGTAAACTTCTCGTTCATTCATTCATTCATTCATCCACTCCGCGAATGTTAATCCAGCCCTACCCAGCGATTAATGAGAAAGACCCCGGGGAAAAGGCTTTAGGAGAGATCTTGCTGGGTGCAGGTGTGACGAGGGGTCAGGGGACCTTTCTCCCTGAGATAGCAACAGCGGGCAGCGGAGCTTCCAGACCAGTGAGAAATGGGTTTTGGCCTCCAAGAGCCAACAGGTTCCGCAAGCTGTAAGCCTGCATACCTCCTGAATTGGGGAGCTCCTCTCCCAGCTTCCCCTCACTCATGCTGAGGAGGGGTACAGATACCACATGGAAACAGGCTTCTGTGAAGCCACTAGCACCACCTACTTAGAAAACTCTTATTTACAGAAGAGGAAGGTCAACGTCTGCTGGTTACAAGATTGGTCCCAGAGGGGTGTGACAGTGGCAGAGGCCTGACTGGACCAAACGCTGTCCCCCTCCAGAGCCCTCAGGTCCTGGAGGAGAAATCCAAAGCAGCCACGGTCCAGGAAACCCCTAGGTGAGGGGCTGCCATGTCCTCAACCCGGGATCCTGCCCTCTTGGCCTTTAGCAAAAGCGAGAGTGACCGGGGGGCAGGCTTCCTCACGGCAGCCTTCCCCCCAGCACCTTTGTGCTCCCACATCAGGACCCGAGTACCCCAGCATCTTCATTCCCATATCCTCAGCCTCACTTTTCACTCTGAACAACTTAAAAGTGGAATCTTGCCCTGGCCAGTGTGGCTCAGCTATAGTGTCGTCCCACACTCCAAAAGGTTGGGGGTCTGATTCCCGCTCAGGGCACATACCTAGATTGAAGGTTCAACCCTCAGTCAGGGAAAATATGTTAAAAAAAAAAATTCTGAACAGCCCTGGCCCTCCCACACCCCAAGAACCAAAGCAACACATAAACAGGGTGAACGCAGGGAGCCGGGCATGCACATGTCTAGGGATTGGATCGGCAAACGGCACACAGCAGACCGTGGCCGCCCTGCCCTTTCCGTGGTGGCTTCCCAGACATTCAGCCTCTCACAGAACGTGGCTGCCGGCCCCCACCAAGGGACTGGAGGAGTAACAGGCCCTGACCATCCGCACTGCCCAGGGCCCTTGGCCTGCAGGGGAACACTGCATGCCCAGAACAGGGAGGGGGGTGCAGGGCCCGGGAGACAGCCTGGGTGGCTTTCCTGCCCCCGCCACTGGGGCAAGTCCTCCTTCACAGAGTATGTGGAGCCACACCTGGCACCAAGAACACTACTGGACCCCATTACATCTAAAATCCATACAAACATTTATTCTGTCCCTGCCTGGGGGTGAGGGAAAGGGGGCTGGGGCACTGGGAGGGGCTGTGGGCCTTGACAGCTCCCTGCTCCCAGGGCAGGGCTCCAATGGGAGTGTCCACACACCGGGGCTCTGGGGACATCTGGAGGGCCAGGCCCTGGGGGCTGGAGGAGGGGCTGGCCTGGTTCCTAGAGGTCAAGGACTTGCGGGGACGGCTGGGGGAGGCCAGTTCTCACCCAACCGGGCCCAGGCCAGGCTGGATTCTTGGGTCCTGGTGGCTGTGGAGGCACCAGCTGACTGCTCCCGCCCCCCCAACCCCCATCCCCCCCAGGAGGGAAGGCAGCACCGGGGTCTTGCTCCTCCAGGTGTGTGTGGGGGTGGGGAACTATGCAAGTCATCAGGTTTAAATTAAAAATAACAATACAAAATAAAAAAAGATAACCCCTGTCCAAACAAACCTGTGACAAGCCCACCCAACCCACTGGATACTGGCAGGTGAGAGGGAAGGAGCAGGTGGTCAGCCTACAAAGGTCACTGCTGGGGACAAAAGCAGGGCCTGGCTGGTGTGCCAGGCAGGTGGTCCCAGCCTCCTTGGTCGGCAGCAGCAGTTTCCAAATGACAGCAGCCTGGGGCAGAGGCAGGGAGGGCACAAGGGGCCACATGGGCTGGGCCTCCATGTATGTCTTGAGCTGGGTCTTGAGTGCCATTTGGCTCCTCCCGTGCTCTCCATTCCCATGTCTTGGTGACATGGACAGGGTTAGCTCTCAAGATTTATTGCACTGTTTTGGAAGAAGCCTGGGGCTAGAGGATGGGCCAGGGCAGCGGGAGGCAGGAAGCAGGAGGGCAGGTGGGCAGGCGGCGGTCACCGCTTGGTCTTGGCGTCTTCTCGAATCTTCCAGATCACCAGGTGCATGCAGGCACTGGCGTCCTCACTGGAGCTGTGCCCATCCACTGTGGAGTGGGCAGAGGGTCAGGGCGAGCCAGCCCTGGGGCCCCACCCTGCCCCTGCCAAGCCCCAACCCTGGCCCCCGCTCGCCCCATCATTCACCGTTGTCCTGGATGATCTGTCTGAGGTAGTCAGCCATGAGATTCCGCAGGGAGCGTTTGTAGGGGAGGCCCAGGCGGTGTGGGAAGAGCACAGATGTGTCCACCACAGTGCTGTGGATGACCTGTGGGAACAGCCGGCCAGTCCGGGTAGGGTCCAGGACCCCGGGAGGCCCTCAAAGGCGGGCAGGGCTTGGAAGGATTCCAGAGCAGTGTGCCTGGTCACTGACCCACAGCCCCACTCGCCCTCTGAGGATGAAGTCTGGGAGGCCAGGATACCTTCAAGGCCAGCAGGTCGCTCTCTAGGCTGTGTCCAATAAGGATGGTATTGGCATTGAACATGCTCAGGAGGACGGCCTGGACATCCCGGAGTGAGATGTTTGTGTCGGCAAGGTCAGCCTCAGTCACCCCAGAAAACCTAGTGCAGGCAGGGCAGGGAACTTAGGGTAGCTGGGAGGACACCAGAGGTCCCCAAACCATGAGCTGCATCAGGGTCATGGGGACTGGACACCGGTGGACCATGGGGTTCCCACCCCGGAATCCCAGGTCCTTCAGGGTCAGGCCGCACCTTGTGTTGTAGTCAACAATCTCGTTGTCCGGCTTGACGAAGGTGTCGTAAACAACCTGCATGTCAGTGTCCACCACCGTGACGCGTGTCAACTCCAGGCCATATGTGGTGTAGGACTGCAGGCCAGAAGGATGCAGCTCAGACACACCCCACAGCCTGCCTCCCTCCCTGGGTGCCACTGACCACACCCCCCAGCCCAGTGCTCACGAGAAGGCTGCCCCGATTCCAGAGCTCCGCGGCAGAGGCCTAGGAGCCCAGGGGTCAGAGCAGGCACGCACCAGGCACTCTCCCCCAGAGCCTACACTGTGCACGTGAAGCCCACACAGCATCCGAGTGCAGAGGGGACATGAGTATGCATGGCTGTGCCCAGGGTGTATGGTGTGTGCTGGGGATGAGGTGAGAGTGTCTACTGGTGACTAGAAAAGCCCTTTCTGAGCAGAGGTTGGCAATGAGCCTCAGAGCTACAGACACGGCGTGACCCACAGGGAGGTGGGTCCATCTGCTGTTCATGGCTCTTGACCCGCTCCTGTTATCCTAAGTCCTGCACTGGCCCAAAGCTTCCGGAGGAGGAGCCGGGACAGCCCCATGGGGCAGGAAGACCCCTGCAGCTCACGAGGGCCATGAGTCCTCAGCAAGTGTCAGCCAGGTGACTCACCATTTCACAGTCAAGGGCATAGATTCCAGGGTGAGCATCTTCTGGAAGCTCTTTATCAAAGGTCTTCATGAACCCTTCCAGGTTTTCCTTGCGGCCATCCTGCACATGTTGCTGAGAGGGGGGAGGGGAAGGAAGGTGAGTGTGGGAGGCTCAGAGGGTGGGGAGGGGACCTCAGGAAAAGCCAACAGGCCAAGTTCACAGGACCAGACTAAACTCCCCTTTCCAAAGCAGATAAACCAAAGGACAGGAGAGGCCAGCAGGCTAACCTGCTCCTATCAGGACAGAGTAGGATATTCCCAGGATGAGGAGGCATCGACAAGGCCCAGGAGACCTACCTTGGCGACCTGGCAGCCAGTGGAGCCAATGGCAGCTGAGCAGCACATGTACTGAGTCTCCCAGCCACCTGCCGCTGCAAGGGAGACAGGGGTCAGTGGCAGTGTTCTCACATCTCTTGCAGGCAGTTGCTGACATCCACTTTGCCTGGGCCGGCAGGGGCTTCCCAGGATATGGGACCCCGGCCCTGGGTTGAAGGGTGGCCCCTGTGAGGCTGGGGATTCTAGCCCTATTCCTGGGGGACACCAGGACCTACAGGGGAGAGAGGACTTGGGACAGGGGGCTGACCCTGCACGGCCCCTCCCCCACACCATCAGCAAGGACACATGCAGGCACGGGTCTCCTTGGGGCCTGCCCAAGGAAACACAGCACCCCAGGGGACCTTCTGTGTGCCCCCAGGGGTGCCCCCAGGGCAGCCACCAGCGCTCCAGGAGACCAGTGCGTTCCCGTGGGTGAGAACCCGGCCACATGAGCCACTAAGCGAAACTAACAGCTGCAGGACAGGACAAACCCATTGTTCTCAAACACCCACGTATTTCTCACAAGCGCTTATGTACTGAAGAAGGGCAAGCGGGGGCGATGGGGTTGTGAGGAGGCCTTCCTTTATCTGTCTAAATGTTGTAACAGAAGATTTTCACATTACTTTTGTCAAAAAGTACCAACTAAGGTAAAGAAAATTAAAAAGGGGTTGCGGAGGATCAGAGAGGCGGGGGACAGGCCTGGGTCTCACCTCGGTTTCGGCGGAGCCGCCCCCAGTGGTAGTAACATTCTTCCTCGCGCACACACCGGCCAGAGGGGGACACGAGGTACTCGGTGCCACAGCGGCAGCAGACCCGGCAGGAGGCTGGGGGTGCAGACAGGAGGACAGGTGAGGAGTCAGGCAGGCCCCCGCGCCTGAGCCTCTCTGTGTCTGCACCTGCTGGTTCCTGCACCCGGACGGCCTCCCCCATGCACCCTAAAAGGAGCGCAGGGGCAAGAGGCAACTCACAGTCTTTGGGTGGCTTCTCCTCGGCAGTGAAGATGACAGCACCCCCTGGCCTCTTGGGGTGTGGGAAAGGGTAGCCGTTCTCCTTGAGCTGGTCCTCAGTGAGCAGGTACTCCTTGAGGCGGTCATAGAGGGCAGCCCCTGCAGATGACCAGGACAGGCCATCAGCCCCACGGTGAGGTTAAGGATGGCCAACCTGAGAGGCAGGCAGTGGTTGGAAGGGTGGGGCAGGGGTGGGGGACAGGCACTGTGCCCTGGGCCCTGGAGGAGTCAGGCTCACCTTTCAGATCCTCCACACGGGGACTGTTTGGCCGGCTGAGTGAGAAGCTGGTCTTGGCGGCCAACTTGCCCCCCAGCACCACCTCATGGGACACCACCCTCCGGCTACTGGTTTCTGGAAGCGGGAGGAGAAGGTGAAACAAGGCT